CGTCCCCCGCCATCACCGAATTGTCGGGGCCGTTGCCCCCCAACTCCCCCGTTACATTCGTACTACTACCCCCTGGCTGTTCTGTGGGGTTCGGGTTAGCGACCTCCAACTTCTCCCCCCCCCCACCCTGGGCCCCTGACTTTGTTACCGACCGCGTAGGCATGGCTCAATTAGTGGGCTTGTACGCTTTACGCTTGCGGCGTGCTACGCGGGTTCAGTGGCGGCGTGCTGCGGTGAGCGCGCTCGCAAAGCAAGACTCCGTCCCGCACGTGAACAAACGGGTACGGCGCGCCGATGCGTGACTCCCGTACGTAAACAAATGGGTACGGTGCGCCGACGCGTGATTCCCGTACGTAAACAAATGGGTACGGTATGCTGACGCGTGACTCCCTCACACACACGCTCCACGCGCCCAGGCAATAACAAACCCGACGCCGCTACCTGCCCAGCCCCGTACACCAATCACACGCGAAGGAGTTGGGGTCGGGGGTGAGAGGGCAGGGGTGTCTGCCGTGCGCGCGCCACTGATTGGAGGGAGTCACTCCACTCCGATTTAAAGGGCCGTTTAAACAGCCGCGCATGTACGCGCACTCTCTGCTTCGCTAGAAACAACCGCGCATGCACGCGACCGCAAGACACTCCCGTAAACAGCCGCACGGGCACGCGAACGCCAAGCACTCCCGTAAACAGCCGCGTAGGTACGCGCACGCTAAGCACTCCGCCTCGTTGTAAACAACCGCGCGTGCATGCGAACGCAAGTCGCTACACCCCCTTATTCGCCGCAAACAGCCGTGTATACGCGCGAACACAAAACACTCCACCTCCCTCTTCGCACTCACAGCGATCACGACAGTCATATCCTCTGTTAGCGGTTTTATTCCCCGCGAATATCCCGCTAAACTACGTGTCGGTGTGAGTCAGCAGACCCTAATTAGCCTATCCTTCGGAAATCCTAGGCTCAATCTATCCTGCCTGGCGCTCCCCCTTTCTTCCCTCTGATCGATTAGCCCGCACTCACCTTACTCCCAATCTGATGCTGCAGAAGCCGTGGAACGGCGATGCTGTGGGTCGTCTCCGTGGAGGATTGTGCCTGGCTGCGCTGAAGCTCGTCCCACGGACGACTCGAACGGCCGGCTCCCACACTCCGCTGACTTCGATGACTTGACGGACCCTGCCTTTACTGTCTCAATCACCTGCCTTTTATCCTACCTATCACAAAGGCATTCCGCGGTGCCTGCACTTGCACACCCGTGCCCTTTGATATTCGGATCTACAATCCCACCTATAACAAAAGGCATTCAGTTGCTCCTGCGCCCGTGCCCCCCTGTCCAATCAGAGACCGAGATATTCCTGTCCCTTTGACATTCGGATCCCTAATCCTACCTATAACAAAAGGTATTCAGTTGCTCCCACACCCGTGCCGCCCTGTTCATTCAGAGGCCTGGTTATTCCTGTTCCTTTGATACCCGGATCCTAGTGCTGGTGGCGTCACCGCGGTGGTTTCTCCGACGTCCGCTCTGTTCTCCCGCTACCCGGATTTTCCCGCCCTTTTGATATTTGGATCCTATCTCTGGTGACGTCGTCGCAGTGATCTCTCCGACGTCCGCTCTCTATTCCCCCGCTACCAGCCTACTGACCCGTGCTGCGTGTGTGTGATCCCATCAGCAGTGGCTTTTCAGCCCCTGCCGTAACCATGCGATTATAATATCAGGCCACTGCGCCGCGGTGCTGGTCAGCCTCGGGGGTAGGTCGCTCAATTCCCCGGCCGCAGGAAACCATGAAGCTTGATCCCATTAGGGGCTTCTGGACGAAATGTCGGCCAGGTGACCCACCCCTCAGGCCCTATGTGGGGTATGCGTGCATTCATGTGGGGGGCGGCGGGGCCGTACCCACCGCCGTGACGCTGCCACCCCACACAACTAACTGCCAATGCATAGGTTCAATTCCTGGGCTGATCATATCTGAATTAGAATTAACGTCCATTTCGCCTAGACGGCAGTATTAGTTTATGTTTAAGGAAACACCTAAACACCTAACAGGCGGTCCTCCACACATCGTCAGGGTTGTATGGTTATACTTCACCACGCCGGTCAGTGCAGGATAGTGAAGGGTGGCATAGACGTGAGAACATTGTTTAAACTGCTATTGTAGCCCCCCAGCATCAGTGGTAACTTTTTGACCCGCCCACAAACTGGACATCTGTGAAAATTTGCTTCACAGCTCATCGGATTTCTCCAGGATAAGTAAATATTCTGATTCTGATTCAGCCTAGAAGTGGGAACAGAGTAAAAGGTGAATTGCTAGCCCTCTCCTCGAGAGAACCCACTCGCAGTATTTCATCTCCCCTTGCACGTTAACCAGACGCGATGGGACAAGTGGGCGTCCGCCACCACACCTGACCTGCCGACTCGCTGTGGTGTACCCATCGATACTGCTGGGTCGACGACGGATGGGGTGGATCTGAGAAGATTATCCAGTTTAAACGGCGGGAAATCGAATTGAACCGATGACCTCTGGATTGCAAAGTCCAATTTGCAAAACCATTACACCACAGAATTGTACACAATGACAGACTTTGCTTAACAGCCCACAGCACAGCCTATAACACCTATTTTTTGTCAAGGTGGACATCAATACAATAACTATCGAGGCTTATTCCTGCTGAGCTTTCGATGTTAATTATATATCATTTGGTTATAGGCAATTCATTATTAATGGGTATAACTTTCATGGTATTTTTAATAGTAAAAAATCCTAATTTGTTAGGTTACCCTCAGTGTACACAAAGTCATAACCTTCGTATTTCAAACAAGGTCCCATAGTGTTCAACATCTTCTGCTTCTGTAAATCGTCTGTCAAAGTTTTTAGTGTAAACTGTATTCATTTATTTTTAAAAGTTTCGGGTTAGATCGCGTTATTTATAAATGTGTCGCAACCCTCCACCACCCGACACGGCCAATCAGTAAAAAATGTGTCACGTTCACAAAAGACAAATAGTTCACTAATTTAGCCCACCGGTGTGTTGAAGAGTGGATCCATAACATTTACAATTTGAGTACGATGTTTCGCTGAAAATTACATCCAGCACCTTCGGCCGATTTGCCAGAATAGTGAAGCCATCCACCTGCTTCCGGTCTTAAATAGTGCAGGATGACGTCATCATTGTTGAACCCCATCAGGATTCGAGATCAGAAGCGGAGGTGGGGGTGTATGAAATTATGTAATAGATCAGTAATCAGCCAATTAGCATATGACTCACCTGTAAGGAATTGCAATGTGTTGCGTAGACTCTTATATAAGCGCACAACTTTATCTGTGATGAACGCTACACTTTCCGTCGTTTTAATACAGGGGGCGCTGCAAACCTACGCACCCCCTGCATTAACGAAAGAGGCGCAGGGACAGACGTTCGATCACGTTGGAATCGATCTGCAGACGGCGGTCTTCTCGCACGGCCAGGTCCATGTCGTCTTATCTCGATCCCGCAATCCCAAACAGGTGAAAGTCCGCATCGAACCGAACCCCCAGCAAAGCCAATGACTTAACGACGAGAGAAAATTCACACAAAATGTCGTTTTCAATTAAGTCTTTCAGATGTAAAATGATATAAGCTTTCAATGAAGAAATACAATGATCTAATTCAAAACAATGCAATTCAAAGATTTTTCATTTTAAAACTTCAAAACGGAGCCTCGGGTGCTTGCGTGAATGCATCGTTCGTGTGCAATTGTTTTCGTGAATTTCCTGGCCGAAGGCCGTAAATGGTTGTGAGGGGGCGCCATAGGCACCCCTAAACAACCCCTAGTTACTTAATAATATGCTTCCAGGCTGCGCTGAGTCTATAGCTATCACAGTGATTAAAATTAATAAATTTCAAATGATTCTCTAACTAATCTTGGCCATATTCTTGGTTCTTTTGGTAAAGTCACGTAGAAGGGAAACAATAAAATAAAAATATAAAACAATAAAATTCTCACGTGACTTTACCGAAAGAACCAAGAATATGAATCCCTGCAGTCACAAAAGCTTTAAATAAAAATTTAATCTTGGCCAGTAATAATTAGTTCTGCATAACACTTCAACGTTATCAAAATAAATTGAATGTCCTTGTTGGCAAGCATGCTCTGCCACTGCTGACAGCTGTTTGGGAGAATTTTATATTCCTTTGGTGTTCTTTTAGGCTTACGCTGTTACGTCCCGTCTGTCCAATATAACACTTACCGCATAAGCAATTAATCCGATATACACCTTCTGTTGATAACTTCGGTAATTAATCTTTCGTACAAGACAGTAGTTTTTGAATTATGTACTGTACCAAATCTTACTTTAATGTTTTGCTTTTGCAAAACACGGGCTAATTTGTCAGTAACTCCCGAGATATATGGTATTTTTATTGTTTTCATAATCTGACCACTTTTAGCTGTATTGTTGTTCAATCTTGATTTGGCATTCAATGCTCTGTGAATTTGAGCATTGTAGCCGTTCAGTCTTAGTGCTTCTTTACCGTGTTTAATCTCTTTCCTTAAACTTTCACTATCTGACACTGTCTTTGCCCGATGTATGGAGCGTCTTGATGAGAGAGGATTTCTGTGCTGGGTGATGATGCGAATCTGCATTCAGATAGGGATCAGTGTGTGTTCTGTTTCGGTAGTCGCTGTGCTATTTTGTCATTTTGACCGCGTCCAAGCAAAATATCCAGGAACGGGAGTGTGTTGTTCACCGCCATTTCCATGGTGAACTGAATGGCTGGGTTTTGCACATTGAGACGATTTAATAATTAAATAAGTGTATCTCTTCACTCTTCAAGACACCGGTGGGCTTAAGTAGTGAAATGTTTGTCTTTTGTCAACGTGACACATTTTTTTACTGATTGGCTGTGTCAGGTGGTGGAGGGTTGCGACACATTTCTAAATAACGCGATCTAACCCAAAAACCTTTATAATACTGGTCGCGAAAACCTACGTGTTAAACTGTATTCATTTAATGTTTTAAACTGTAAACATGTTTGCACAACGACATACTTTTAATGTGTATATTTCCATACAGTCATTGGTACATTTGGCATTTGTTCCAATTCGCTCCCTTCCCCCTTGTTTAATCACCCACACGGGGCTTTTTGGTGGGGGAAGATAAACTCCATTATGAACCACCCCACCAGTCTGCCAGGTGTGGTGAGATGATAGCCCCTTTGTCCTCATGGCACCAATTATGCCCGCATGTCCCAATTTTTAGAAGGCTTAGCGTCAGCGTATTCGTTGGATTGGACGGAAATACATTCGCAACGAGCACAGACGGAATGCCTTTTGTAAACTTTTAATTCTTGATGCAGACTTGTCCACATATGTCAGTTTCATTCACCACTGCACTAGCCATAGTTAATTAAAGACAATATATTTGTACATAGCTTATGACGCAGACACTTAAAAAGTTGAGCAGATACACGCCGTACTTTTCACTTTTAAATATAAATAAAAATGTTAAAAAACCTATTTGCAATAGCCGGATACCAAGGACGGTGAATGTCACGAGAAGGCGACACGTGGAGGGAAAAAATGAACAGACCATCATCTCGCACGTACTATTGCACATCATTCATACGCAAATAACCTTTATGAGTTTGAATCCGTAGTTTGACCGGAATTGCAAGCGCAGAGAAATGAAACCATGAGCTCTGCACAACCAATAGAATACGTCTGTGAAATAGTCCGGCAGTGGTTATTCAGTTACCACTAGGTGAAGCTTAACGAAAACTCCACCGATTTCCTTCCTGCTACACGACTGTTCATTCTACACGCTCTTCTCAGCTGGGCTTCTGGCTGCATGCAGAGCGCTGCCCATGCGCCCACTGCTCCGTGGCGAACCTTTCTCAGCGCCGGATGATACTTCCTGCAGACGTGTCGTGTGCGACACCACGACCGCACGCAGCTTCCCGGCGGTGGCGGTGCCGTCTGGGGCCGGCGACGCAATCACCGCCGTCGCCGCTCCCTCTCCTCGCCACGGTGTCACGGTCTTGTCGCATCGCCAGGCGCCTGTGAGCACACTTCTGTATTCCCCTTCTTCCTCCGTCGACGTGGCCGCGTCGGTCTTCGTCCGCTCTGCCTTGTGAGCGGCACACGTCGAGCTGCTCGCCGTGGCAACGTGAGGACCGTCGCTCCACTCCGCGGGCCGCGCAGGATCGGGCCTGGGGTCGTCGCCGAGCGGCGACGACTTCCCTTCGTCGCCATCCATTTTCCGATCGTCGTGGCTTTCGTCCATCTCCGAGCTCGCGCCGATGTCGTGTTTCTGTTCCTTCTGCTCGGACGAGCCGTTCCCCCCGCTCTCTGGCGCTGCTACGCACTGCTGCTGCTCCTGCTGCTGCTCTGCCGCCGGCTTCCTGAAGCCGGGCAGCTTGTGCGTGGGCGGCCCCCACGGGAAGTCGTCGGGCTGCGGGTAGTGCTTCCGGGCGAAGAGCAGCAGCTCTCGACGCTCCTTCTTCGTGCGGAGGGTGAACACGAAGTATTCGAGGCAGCTCTGCTTCACGCGCGGCAGCTGCTTGTTGCACAGCGTCTCCTCCAGGAAGAACCGCACGAGCGGTGCCTTCATCCTCTCCAGACCCAGCTCCCCCAGACTCTTGAGGATGCGCGTCAGCCGCAGGTTGTTGTGCGTGTGGCTGTCGTGTCGAGAGAGAGAGAAATACAGATGAGGTAGGTTGGATTGAAGGGTCATCTACATACAACAAGCAGAGGTCTTCAATGCGGTAATTATTACACATCAATGAAACTTTAGAAGCTTTCCCATAGTTCAATGATGTGATAAAAAAAACAATTGACAACGTCTTGAATGCAGTCGCTGCAAAACTGTGTGGACAAGTGATCGGTTTTCATCCTGCTCCGGTCTGCTGAATAAACATCAGAGCTGAGTTTGATTGAATTACCTTCAGAGTTCATTTGTATCACAGTTAACATGTGATATATCAGTGATGCCAATGAGACCATTCCTCATCAGTCTGATAATTTATTTTTACCCAGGAGGGTTTTTCTTTGGATATTAGGCCAGTTATTTTTAAATTATTTTGACTTAATGTGTACGAAAACAACGTCTAAAATTGAATGCACATGAGCTGATAGTAAAGGTCAGTAGATATTCTGGCAACATGCTTGCTGTTCTTACTTCTACAGGCAGAGTCACTGCCCCTGAGCGTCAATGAATGTCTCTTGCACATTGAGTCTGCTTCATCCAGGTAAGCACCAACACACTCGGCTAAAAGCGCAGCACAAGAGATCCAGGTTTCATCTCAAGATAGTCTCCCTACGCAAGTGAGCACAGGGCTGCACTTATCTCTACTGGCGGCCCTGAGCCAGTGGTAGAATTCCAAGGGCCATTCCTTCCAGGAATAATGGGTCAAGATGACCACCGAGCGGGATGTAAATTCACAACCTTCTAGTTGTCAGTCAGGAGCTCTAACCACTGCACCACCCGACTAGGTGAAAGCCTAAACTCCGCAGGCAGATCTGGATGCCATGGACTGAAGAGTACTTGCCTGTTCAGGTTGAGAAACCGCGTCCTCCAGTTGCCCGTACGTGCCACTTCCCCAGTCTCCTCATTCACGAGCATGATCCCATAAAAATCCAGCATCATGCGGTAGGCCCGCATCAGCCGGCCCTGAACCTCCTTTGACTCCTTGAATTTCTAAACATTTTGCAAGTGACACAAACGGGAGCGGAGTCAATCAAACACAGTGGGGGGGCTAGGTATGTAATGATTCACAAGTCGGGGTTTGCAATTCAATTCTCGTGAAGCAAGTTTTAAGCAAACACAGTGGTATGAATCTACAATCGTGTTGGAAGAACCAATGAACACAAATAATTAGCAAATAAGCAGCACATCATTTGCTAGGGTCAAAAATATGTGGTCAGCAAAGCTTTACAGCATAACCCACAATGTTTTACGAGTCAGAAGCAAAGGCAGCTGCAGCATATGCACAGAAGCTTTATTCTGAATGTTTACAGTTAAAACAGCAAGGCGAGTGTGTCAGTTTTACTATTATCAAAGGTTATCAGTAAATTAGATCTCATGTCCTGTGACAAGAGTGTACACGTTTTTCTCTTATGAATCATTTGTGAGGTACATCCCTGCTACCCTATATGTCTACTCGTTTTACCCTACAAAGACGTGTTTAGTGCAAGACACTATTGCGCACCTGTATATTTTTCTATATCAATCATTTACTAGAATGAAGGATGGCAGTGACAGTGGTAGTAGTGATGCTGGTGGTACTCCTGGTACACTGCTGATGCAGGTGGTGGTGGTGATGTTAGCAGCGCTGGTGGTGGAGGTGTAATGCTGGTGGTGGTGCTGATGCTGGTTTGGGAGCGTGGAGGCTGGGTGTGGGAAGTTGTGAGTCCCAGGCTGCTGTAGGCTGGCCTACTCATCGACAAGAGGCGAGGAATGGTGGTGGTGGTGGTGGTTGCTTACGCCCCCACCCAAGATGAACATCAGTAGAGAGATGCAGACAAAGCTGATGAGTCAGAGGCCTTGCGAGCTCGAGTGGCCCCTCAGGGCCACTTTAATGCTCCAGTATGTCATGACGCGGGTACCTGGGCCGGACTAATTGGAAGGCATGGGCCAAAGCTCATTAGTAACGATAGGAGGCTGCTAGTTACCAACAACACTGTTCCACCAATAGAGCATCTACACATCATGGATGCACGCCTGGTCCAAGCAAGAACATCTGCTGGACTATATAGTAACGGGACAGCGGATGCCAGCCCATGTCCTTCACACCAGGACCTACCGTGGAGCTGATCTGCCCACTAACCATCAACTTATCATCTGTAAGATGCGCCTGCCATTCCTCCACTGCGGTGGTGGGTGTCCACCTAGGACCCCATTCAAACCCACAGTAGCCTAGTCTCAGCGAGATGATGATTTTCGCAGAAGTAATTACTCCTAGTGAGTGGGCAGAGATCAGAATCTTTATTTAGACTGGAGGAATCTGATGAGCTATGAAGCTCTTTTTCACAGACGTCCAGCTGGAGATGATCTCCAAACCAAACTGCTGAAGGAGGATGTCGTTTGTGTGCAAACTGCCCTATATGACGTCACAACGGCCTGGACCACAGGACGGGTTCCACATGATTGAACGGATGCCCTGGTGGTCCTCCTCTCTTTAAGATGGACCATACAGAGTCTAACAACTACCGGGGCATCTCCCTCCTCAAGTGTGCGGGAAAAGGTCCTAGTTACATTTTGAAACATTCAGGCTGGCCTGCCTATGATCCATCCTGGGTTTAATCAGGCTGGATTGTGTGATCTCAAAAAATCCTTGAAAGATCTGGGCATATTCGCATCAGTGAGCTCTTCCGGAGGGCAAAGCTGCCTTTGGCTGGGTCAAGTAGCCCACATGTCCAGCCACCGCATGTCCAAGCAGCTTTTGTTTGGATAGGTAAAGGGGACTAAATGGGCATAGCTCGGGCTGCAGGACAGATGGACTAATGTGATCCAGGAGGATGTGGAGATGACTGGACTTGCTGAAGACTGGTATCAGCAGTGTCAAGATCGGCCTCTTTGGAGGAGGCTTGTGAAAGACGCTGCTGGGCAGTTGGAGGCAATCGTCATCGAACAACAGCGGAGGGCAGAGGAGCAACGCTCACAACAATGAGTGGAGTGCCGGGCCACTAAAATTCAGCAAGTCCACACAGTAGGGGCCACAGGTGGTGCATCTGCCAGTCATGTCAGTCAACTCATGGCACCTGGGTCTATCCTGTGATCTCCTGTCAGCAAGCCTTTGACACTTCACGTGGCCTCGGAGTGCACCTGGCCTGGCACAAGCACCCGGGTGATGTCACCGCCACTTAATGGTGAATGGCGGCTGTTGTTATTGTTGTGATAATGGTGCTAATAGTGGCAGCAGGTACAACGCAAAGTTTGTAAAATGTGACCTGGATGCTCACCTCAATCTCTTCCTTGGTCAATACTGCTGCATAGGGGTTCATGCCCTGCTCCCTTATCGGGAAAAGCCTAGGGAACAATCAATAAAGCAATTAATCACTCAACATCCTTTACTAAATCACACAGGGGCCCACTGAGATACACGGTCTCTCTCCAAGGTAGACTAAAAGAGACCAGAAAAAGGAGCGGCTGCAATGACAAGCCAAAAATAGTTTCCCTCCATCAAGTTAAATTTTTTTGTAAATTAGTGTCAGGTAATTTTATAAATATGAAATTTATGCTGCGACATTCGTTCAATGTGTTTCTTGCAGAAATGTCACAGCTGGGTCTTTATGTTTGGTGGCGAGATGTTAACAACCTCGCTCGGTATACAAGAGATCATGGGTTCGATCCCAACCTTGACCACTGATTTCCTCATCTCTTCCCCCCAACTCAGATTTCTCGTCCCTGCACCCTGACACTGCTTCTTTTGTCCTAAATTCAGTACTTTCTTCCTCTAGACGCACTTGCACCTCTGCTTCGCTTCCACCCTCCGCAACGCTCCCCATGTCCCTGGTTATCACCACCGCTCAAGTCACAGCGCCGGCTCGTACGCAAAGCAGAGCGCATCTGGAGGACCTCACCAACTCATGATTCACGTTCCTCATATACTTCCCTACTATCAAATTACACTTCGGCCCTGGAGGCTTCTCGTCAATCATACTTTCTTTTCCTCAATTCCGCCCTATCTCCACACCCTGCTCTACTCTTCAATACCTTAAAATCTCTGCTCCATCTGTCTTCTACCGCACCTATCACGTCCTCCTCCGCCTCCACTCAGGTGGTCCTCTTCAACTACTTCATTACCAAGATTTACCACATCTGCTCCTCCTTGCTCACTGCGCAACCACCTGACATCCCTGCACCTACTGACCCCTCCCCGCTCCACCATACTTATTTTTCCTTCAATGCTTTCTCCCCGACTCTTTGGTTCTATTGGGTAAAGTCACGTAGGTGAAAATAAAATAACAAAAAATCACGACGTTTCGGCCACAACACAAGCGGCCTTCATCAGGTGAAGGGACAAGACTGTCTGGAGGACAGCGCTGTTTCCCTTCTGGAGCTATCTACCATCATCTCCAAAACCCGCCCCACCTTTTTCTCCCTCAATCCCCTTTTGCCTTCCCTTCTTCCATCCATTTTCCCCAATATTATTCCATTTATCATGGCTCTCTTTAACTCTTCCCTCCATTCCAGCATCTTCCCCAACCCTAACAAAACCGCCACCATTGTACCGCTTCTCAAAAAAGCTTCTCTAGATCCATGTGTCCCTGCAACACTATCGCCCTATTTCCTTGCTTTCTTATTTCTCCAAACTCCTTGAACGCTTAGTGCACTCCCACCTCTCATCCTATATCTCTTCCCACTCGCTGTATCCCTCCAGATTTGAAGCTTTCGTGACTGCAGGGATCCATACTCGGTAAAGTCAAGCAGGTATAAAATAAAATAAATTAAATCACGACGTTTGGAGCGCAACACAAGCGTCCGTCATCAGGTGGGACAACCACAGCAAGAAACAATTGCTGAATTGTTTCTTGATGTGGGACAACCACAGCAAGAAACAATTGACGGACGCTTGTGTTGCGCCCGAAACATCGCTGTATCCCCTCCACCAGTCTGGGTTCCACCCTCTCCATTCCACCGAAACAGCCATCCTTCACATCCACATCCACAACCACCTGGCCAATTCGCATCACTCCGGTCTATGCTCCATCCTTATCTCTCGACCTGTCCTTCTGCCTTCGACACCCTTGACCACTCCATCCTCCTGTCCACTTTCTCCAACCTCGGCATCTCTGACACTCCTCTTTCTTGGATCTGTTCCTACCTAACTTCCCGTTCATCGACTGTCTCTTTCAACTGCTGCTCTTTCTCCACCACCCCTCTCACGGTTGGTGTCCTCCAGGGCTCGGTACTTGGTCCCCTTCTGTTCTCTGTATAAACATTTCCCCTAGAGTCGATTCTTTCTTCCTTTGATATTTCCTGTCACCTCCTTGCCGATGACACTAAAATGTTCTTCTCCATTCCAATCATTCACCACGGATCTTTCCCTCCACATCTCGTCCTGTCTGACAACCATACAAGCCTGGATGACCCAACACTTCCTTTACATAAATCCTTCCAAAACCTCGGTGCTTTTCTTTCCATCCTCTCGCTCATCCCCCTCCTGCACCCTCCATTTCTTCCCCCCACCCCCTTAGCCTCTTCCCAAATTCTACCACCCTTCCTCTTGGCATTACCTTCGATTCCACTCATTCCTTCACTTCCCACATTGCCAATGTCACTCGCACATGCCATTTCCATTTGTACAACTTAAAAAATCCGCCCCCTCATCACTACCACCGCTACCAAACTCCTCATACGCTCCCTTGTCTTCACTCATCTCGACTGCTGCAACTCACTCCTGGTCGGTCTCCCTGCTGACGCCTTTATCCCTCTCCAACATATCCACAACGCAGCTGCACGCACTGTACTCAACCTTCCCTACACATCTGACTGCTCTCCTCCCCTTCAACAACTTCACTGGCTTCCTGTCTATCATCGCTGTCTTTTTAAATTCCTCACCCGAGTATTCAAAGCTTTGCATGGTGTTGCCTCCCCCCACACCTCTCTTCTCTCATTTCTTTACACGTGCTTTCACGCTCCCTCCGATCTCAATATTCCCTTTTTCTCATTTCTTACTGTTCCTTCACCTCCTTGCGCCCAGTCTCGCTTTCGTTATTTCTCTCTTCTTTCCCCGGTGCACTGGAACAAACTCCCTCTCCACATTAAGACTCTCCCCCTCGCTTTCCTCCTTTCGCTCTACCCTCAAGGTCCTTTCTCTTTTCTATTGCTTTTTCTCTTCCACTGCCTCCACCCCTACCAGTTCCTTCTCCCGCCTCTAACCCACTCCCAGTCCCCCAGCTCTTTTCCTCCTAGGCCCCCACGTCTTGCTTTCCATATCAGCACCTAACCACATCTCTCCCCCAGCCCTCCGCTGTTCTCCCCAATCAGCTCAACTATCCGGCCACCACACCTCTGCCCCTACCACCCTTCACCTACCCTCATCCATGCCAAGCCATAGCACCTATCTATCTTACCACTTCACGCGTGAGCCCCAACCCCGCTGCCTCTCATCCACATTGCACCCATCTGTCGCCCTCATTCACCATCACACTCCAGCTCCATTCCCATCCCCTGTCCCTCCTACCCTTCCGTCACCTCCCTCACTGACAGCCACTCCACCCTACCCGGTGCTCCCCTTTTGCCCCATTGTGTACTGCCGTCGGCTTGCATTGTAAAGTGCCCTGGAACGGGCGCTGCTATATAAATCCTAAACAGAATAACATATTTGGAGCTGACATGTTCTTCCCATGGTCGCGTAGATTTTTCCCTGGGTCCTCCGGTTTTTCCCTCCACATTTAGAATCAACATTATGCATTCAGAGTATTTGGCTGCTATAATTTTCCACGTGATAAGCCACTGGGTTGAGCTCTCATTTGTGGCCAGGTCGCTTCTGAATAAGTAATATTTAAAAAATACTTTTTTTAAAACACGCTTTAATGAAATGTACCGTACTCGTAATGGAAAAACTCCAAGACTCCAGGAAGTGGCCGTAAAGCTTGTCATAACGTAAGGGACCGTGGTAATTTACAGCCAACGTCAGTTGAGCGTGGACAATTAGACCCAAGCCGAAACATAACATATGAAAAAGATGGTTTTAAAATATTTTCTTAAATTTGTAATGATAAACTATAGTATTGTCATCTGTATGACATAAGTATACCAAGTTTGCAGTCGATACCACATTGGGAAGTGGTTTAAAATTGAGTTACAAGATTTGAGGATACGACAACAACAGACAGAGTGAGTTAAATAAAAGCGTGTAAAAAGGGCTATATGGCTTAGTGGGCATTATCTGGCAATAAATCAACATGTACACTTTTCCACTTTGGTAATTTCTCAGTGAAATTAGTGGGCAGTTGTGAGATCCCAATTGTATACTTTGCAAAATAGTCAAGTACTTATCAAATCTCCCACCTAAACCACCATGCAATCTCTGCACATTTTTTTAAGCGGACTAACGTTTTGAACAACTATTTACAGCTGGAAATACAACACACTGCCTGGTTATACTCTCCACGAGTTCTCCCAAAATAAAAGAGACATGTGGTCTCAATGGGCTCTCTCACCTAATGAATACATTCTCATTTAATACAAAATATATATTTCCAAAGTATAAATTACAAATCTTGTTAGTTTCCTCAAATCTTACCACTGGATGTACGAGTGGTTCCATTCCAGCTGCTCGTAGTCAGAAAACCAGTCGGTGAGTATCTCCTCGATCAGCATGCCTGTGCAGAAAATTGTAAGTTATATATACTTGTACAATAATGTATTTAATTTTACCATGAAAGCCTCACCGAGTCTGAAGGATAATTTTGAAGAGTGTTCTGCTAGGAATATTACAACTTAAATGTAATTGCATTTCAAAGCTAACCAGAGCATATAAATAAATCCCATGAGCGGATAACACTCGAAATGCACATAGATTAGCAACCTTTTTGCCGTACTACAAGTGGATTGCTGTCTGGTTAGGTGGTGGCTATGCATGCCTGTAATCCAGCACTGCAGAGGCAGCAGCGAGGGTTGGTCGAATCGCGCACTAATATTCTGAAACTCCCTTCCCGTGGCCGTCGAGCTGCCATACCCTGGCTTGCCAGGCGAATGCAGTACAGCAAGTAGCCTAATCGTTATTTCCATTTGTAGGGGTATAGTGTTGCCCCTTTTTGATTTGTGTTTTCTTCGGGTGTTCCGGTTTTCTCCCACACGTATTTACACTTATTAATTGGCTGAAAAAAAATATTGAAATAAAAACCTAATGCAGGATCTTCCTGAAAAATACTCAGTGTGACTCTCCTGTATGAAATAAAAAAAAGACAGGAGGTGTCATGGGCAGAAAATTTAATTTATATCACCTTATAAAAGTGTGTGGATGTGTGGGGAGCAGTGGCAAAGTGGTTATTATATTACACAGCAAACCTGATGGACCTATTCCAGTCCATCGATGACAACTATAGCAAGTGGTCTTACAACTGTCATGAACCTCATCTAGGTTGACTCGGCCTTAAATAAACTCAGCACAAATTGAATGTAGGGTGTTTTTTTATGTGTGCTTGTGCATCACTGTCCACTAAGTCCCTTGTTTTTTTTTGCTCAGCCTCAAATAAGTACCTGGTGCAGTGTTTAAATATTGGCACTGATAAAAAGCTATTGGGCATGGTGGTGGCCACAACACGCCCCGTCATGTACCATCCTGGTCTTAAAATGTGCTTGATAACAGCACTTGCTCTAGGAGTTTGTATAGCTATGACTTTGCCTTTGTGTGTGTGGTGAAGGTGTGTGTATGCGAGTTCATTGTTGCCATTAACAATGAGCTCAGTGTAAAACCAATCAAACATCGCGAGTTGGCACAATGGCGAGTGCGGGAGGTTCATCGGCAAGTCACGCCGGTCAATTAACCAAGCCTTTATCACTCCAAGTGGCCTCAAAAGTGCACCAAGCCTGATGCAAACTCCGCACGAAGAATGGTGACTGTTGCTGCAGAATGGTGACTGTTGCTGCCGTAGTGCTGGGTGTGTATGGGGTAGAGGTGTGTGTGTGTTTATGTATGATCTTACTGCCAGGCTTGCACCTCAACTGGTTCAGATAAAATTTATAGTTCATCATCCTTCCAGCAGGGATGTCATCTTGTGTGCCCTGAAAGGGTAAACAGGGACAAGCATCGTCAACACAACCTCCGACAGTGAATTATCATTATACGTGGCTGGATGGCTCAGAAACAAATGTTAATACCTGTGTTTGTGATCTGAGTTCGTGCATTTCAAACGTGGGTTCTCACGTAGCATAAACCAGATTGTTGAGTACAATGTTTGTGAACCCGGCCACAAAAAAATGTAATAAACAGCATATAAATTGGGGTTTTCACTCAATTTGGCTCTGCTTAGCTCTGAGGACTTAACTAGCGAAAGGCATAGAGTGAGCCAATCAATAATTTGCCCAGCAGAAAAGTGCAACCATGGGTTGTGGAACCAAAGATCCTTGAAACAAGTCAGATGAAAGCTAGCTTCTGGGTACAGTGGTACCTCGGTATACGTCGTTAATTCGTTCCAGAAGGTAGGACTTATACCGGAAATGACGTCTACCAAACGAATTTTTCCCATAAGAAATAAAGGGAAAGGAAATAATCCGTTCCAGAGTATAAGAAATGATATTTTACATGGCATATTATACATTAATGTGGTTGTATAACATAATGTAGACACTACTTATTACTAAAATGCATACATACATTAAATGACAAAAAACGTGAAAATTCAGAGTTATAGCAAGGGTTGTGCACTTAACGAGATCTACAGGCAGACTGAGGAGCGGCGCTTTGTTTCAGTCGTGAACGGGGTATACGCGGGTACGCGGTGACTCATCCCGACCCATACAAGTTCTAGCAAGCGCGTCGTATCCCAAGAAAGACGTATCCCAAGACATTTTTTTCTCGGCAAAACACAACGTATACCAAATTCGACGTATTACAAAGCGGTTGTATACCGAGGTATGACTGTACTTCCCTAATCTGACCTGCCAGAGACCTAACAAATGTATGTCAATTATTAGTACTTCCATTATAAGGCATTCACACTGCCTTTATTTTAAAAGGATGGTTAATTACAAAAATGTACACAGATATTGGTGCTGGAACACTGCTATCAATACTGTTCCTTAATTTAAATGTATCATATGGAGATCGTGAATGGAAAAACACCTCACTCTGTCTAGATGCAGGCAATTCAATCGCAATATAATACAGTAATATATTTAACTAAGCCCCTCATTCAAATGTAATTATTTTACTTTAAGCCCACATGAGAGTATAAGACGGAGGAGATTCATATCACCAGCTCCCAATATAAGCATCACTCTGTTTGAGGGCACGCAGGACAATGTGAACCCTCTCTAAGCAAACGGGTACAGGCAGTCCCAAGGTTACCAAATGGTTAGGTTGCCGATAACGATCCGGAACCAGAACTTTCCGTATGACGGAAATTGAACAATTTTCCTCCAAAATCAACAATAAAATCCAATAGCCGGTAATAGTTGTGTCTTGCCTTAAATTTTCTCTCGGTAATTTATCGCGCTATCGTCCGTTTTCTATCGCTACCCGTATCGTATCGCTTAACATACGCTCTGCACTTCCTATCACTCTTTCATTTCATCGAATATCTACCCTAACACTACCCATAATTAATCTGATGGAACATATACTGTATCCAATTGTTTATGAATACCACGAAAATTGTAATATTAATTGTTAACAGAAAGCAGTCACTTTTTAATGGTCGTTTACGATGCATTAGGCTCGGCCTAGACTTCGCATACACATACATACACGCACACAAAGATAAAGATCCCCCGTATAGCCTTAACAGGATGTTGGGGCAAGTGCTGTTAGCGAGCACCTATGAAGGCAGGCACGGTATACGAGGGGGTGGGTGGCCAGCACCACGCCCGACCGCCTTTGTCTCCTCAGTGTCTATGTTTACACACGACACCAGGTACTCATTTGAGGCTGAGTCGACCTAGGGGAGGCCCAAGACCGGTTCGGATAAACGTCACCGGTGTTGGCCGTGAGCGGGAATCGAACTCGGGTCGCCGGGTTTCGTAGTGCATTGCGCTAACCACTACACTACACACAGATACACGCACACATACACACAGTACATACAGTAACTAACTGATAAAATAAACTTCAAATCAAGACAACTAGCAGCAGAAACATGGGAGAAAAAAGACAGTTCTAAGCACAGAAAACAAACCATTTCTTAAAGTAACAAAAGGAAAAGAATTAGTAACGCTACAAAAAAATTACATTTGACTTAATCCTAGTGAAGCTCGGGCTCGGTGAGAAGGCCGCGTTTTGGTGGAGGCGTAAGGTGGGAGCTTACACCTCACTCCGTGGTATTCATCACTATTTGTGCTTATGTAACTCACGCAAACATTTCCGCATATTTAACTTTTTTTACATGATTTACGAGAGCATTTCCGTAAAGTTGGATTTCCGTAAGTCGGGTCTTCCACAATCCGGAGATTGCCTGTATATTATTCTGGGGTAACAAAAGAATGGCTTTCCTAGGCGACTCATTCACAGCAGTAACAAACTATTGTGCGGGAGCTTTTCAGAAAAAACAAACCCACATTTGGTTCTGTCCTCTGCCCTCAGACCAAAGAGTTGAATGTGCTGAGGACAATATAAAGGTAAGTAAATGTAGACTGCCCTTGGTAATCCCTTAGCAAGACAAATACAAGCCAGCCCCTTGAGTAGGTTCCCTTCGCAATGTTCCTGGCCTCCTTGGCAAATACAGCATAATACTGGTAGGAACCTCTGGTTACACCAGCCCACGGGATTATTGTGTCCGTCCGTCGTGCATCCAAAAATGGGAGGGGTGGGGCTGGGTGAAGAGGGGAGGGTGGGCAAGGGCTGGGTGGGGAGGGTGGGGAGGGGCTGGGTGGGGAGGGTGGGACTGGGTGGGGGGTGGGGCTGGGTGGGGAGGGGCTGGTCACCCCGTGGTGCCCTTATAAAACTCAACGTTTAACCTACTCACGCCGGTTTGTACCCGCCCTCACAGTCGGGCATATTTGCGGAATAAACCACGCCGCCGTTGACTCTGGCCATTGACCGAGTAACCCAACATTCCTACCAGCTCCCTCCGCAGAAATGTGTTTAGGTCTCTCCCTTTGGAGATACTTACATGACAGCAGTAATACGTGGTAATCGCAATTCACAGGTGGTGGAGCATATTGGTATTACTTTGACAATGGTGCGGCTACTATTGGAACTATAAGTGACGCAACATGATTTTAAGCGCATGCAACTTCGTCTGAACACTTAGAATTGCAAACATAGCCATCACTGCAGTATAAAAACACTGCATGTTTGTTTGAAACTTGTTTTTTTACTTGCATAAATGAATGTTGCATACCAAGGAATATTTTTCAATTATTCTCTTTTAATAGTGCATTGATCTGTCAATCCAGAGCTGAAGATATTCCCCATGTCAGTTATAGAGGTTGTTTGATCATACTCTACCATACTGGTCAGTATGGGTTGGTGAAGTGAGGGCCAGCACCAGTTCAAATATAACTCTCACCGAATGTTAGCCTTGACCAAGGAATTAAACTCAGGTTGCCAGGTTCACAGCATGCTGAACACTACACCACAGCTGCCCCCCTACAATGAGATATATTTTCTCGTACATGTGTAGTGACTGTACTTGTCACTGTGGTGCCGGGACTTGCGAAGTCACGGCCGGTAATGTTGTCATTGCGGGCAGCCCGAGTTGGAGGCTGCAGTATCAACACTAGCGGTGGTTGGGTGAGCGCTGGTTAGCGTGGAGGCACCGCGAGTCGTGTGGGGTGCCGGCTCCCAGTGAGGGAGCGAGAGCGAGCGTCAGCCAGCCAGGGTTACTCTGGAGTATGATACTCTGGCTGACCTGTTGTCACGTGACCGGACGATACTGGAGGGGGGCCACCGGTGGACGGGGGCCGAGGGGCGGTCATGTGGAAGGTGGGCGGGGCTAAGGGCGGAGCCAGCCCCAGCCCGGGAGCATATAACGATAGCTCCTTGAGGAGCTTGGGGTTCTTCAAGTGTTGGTGTTCGAAGATCCACGTCAGGGAGAAGAAGCCTCTAGCCACGCGGTCCGGGAGACCCGAGCGTAGGTTATGTTATGTTCGTGCTATTGTGTGAATAAATAGTGTTGCACCCAAGATAATGTCTGCGACTCAGTTGGACTCACTACAACTGGTGTTGGAAGTGGCAAACTTGCTAGGTAATATCTAGCGGTAGACGGAAGATGTCTACACGTCGCAGAGTTCGTGTGCGAGCGTCGAATGATGAAGACGGTGACGAGCTGATTCTGCCCACGGCCACCGAGGACGGAGTGGAGACGCTGCCCACGGAGCAGGGTGCAGCCGGGGCGCGGGGCACCTCGCCTTCTGTTGAGGAGCTCGTCAGGGACGCGCATGGCCGTCTCGCTGACCTCCTCCAAGCAGCGTCCTCCATCCTCGTCGAGATGCGGTCCTTCCCCTCGACGGCGAAGTTAGGGGTGGCGGAGCCAGCCGGGCAAGGCGACTTGGCCGCCATTTCACAAAGGGCGGGAACGCCATTGCCGCTGCCCACGCTCGCAGGCGCCATTTTGCCGCCGGCGGGGAGTGCGGGGACCGCCAAGCTTGAAACAGGGACGTCCTCGTCATTTGACGTCCAATCGCACCGCCGTCGCCTGCCCTTCATTAAAAAAATTGTGGCCTCCAGCGGAGATTGGGTGGCGTTTAAGAGAAGATTCCTCACGAATGCCGACGTGGCGAGATGGTCGGAGGCGGACGCGCTGAAGGCGCTTCCGCCACCCTCGATGACGATGCTTTCGTGGCATTCCTCGCCATCCCGCTGTCCGAGAGGTCGACTCTCACGAAGGCGTTTGACCAGATGGCCGCCACTTTTGAGCCTCCGCTGAACACCCGCCAGAAGTTCGCGGTGAGGCGGAGAGGTGATACTCAGTCGGCCCTCGCGTACAGGAGTGCACTTTTGGCGCTGGCGAAGGCCGCGTATCCGCTCATGGGTCACGATGGCCACGTCGCGCTGGTGCTTGAGAAGATGTTGGAGCTCGCCAAGGATCTTCACACTGTACTTCCCGCCGACGGCAGGGACGTGT